GTTTGGTTCAGTATGGTGAAGACTGCAGACAGAACATCTGTCCAGAAGACCATCATTGAGACCCTCCATAGGATGGGTAAGACACAAAAGTTCATAGCTAAGGAGGCTGGCTGTTCACAGAGCGCTGTGTCCAAGCACATCAATGGAAAGTCTAGTGGAAGGACAACATGTGGCAGGAGAAGATGCACCAGCAAAGAGATGACTGTGGGCTTCAGTGGATCATCAAACAGAAGATTCAGAATCTGGCAGAGATCCAGAAAGAGTGGAATGAGGTAGAGTCACAGCTTCATAAACCACCACATTCAGACTCATCCAGGAGATGGGCTACAACTGTTGGGTTCCTCGTTCCTCTTTTCTGATGAAAGTAAAGTGTCTTTCATTCAGATATCAAGGTCCAAGGGTTTGGAGGAAGAAGGGTGAGGAACAGAGCCCATACTGGTTGAGGTCCGGTGTGAAATATCCACAGTCAGTCATGATCTGGGTGCAGTGTCCGGTGCAGGTGTTGGTAAACTCTGCTTTCTTCAATCCAAGGTCACAGCAACAGTCTACCAGAATGTTTTAGAGGACTTCATGATTCCTTCTGCTGAGGATCTGTATGGAGATGCAGAGTTCATCTTCCAGCAGGACCTGGTCCCTGCCCATGCTGCCAGAAGCACCAGAACCTGGTTTGATGCCACAGTGCTTGACTGGCCAGCCAACTGGTCGGACCTAAACCCCACTGAGAATCTATGGGGTCTTCTCAAGAGGAACATGAGGAGCACCAGAGCAACAACAAAGAAGATCTGACAGCATCAAGGAAACCTGGGTTTCCATAACTCCCAGTTAATGTCACAGGCTGATTGTCTCAATTCCATAACTCCCAGTCAATGCCACAGGCTGATTGTCTCAATTCCATAACTCCCAGTCAATGCCACAGGCTGATTGTCTCAATTCCATAACTCCCAGTCAGTGCCACAGGCTGATTGTCTCAACGTCCCATCGAGGCAGAGATTAAGACAAAGATTCACAACCAACTATTGAAGATTGATATATTGATTTGAAAGAACCATATTTTGATTGATTTGTTCTGATCCTAATTTATTTATTTTTTCTGCAACAACTGAGAAGTGTGGCCTGATGTCTTCACAGTATTATGATTTTTTTTTTATCCTGTTTTTGTGGGTTTCATGAGCTGGAAGTTCAAATTATGTAAAAATAAACAAATAAATACTTGAAATAGTTTAAATTGTGGGCCCTGAATCTATCATCTGTTAAAGATTAACTTTTTGAATGGAATTATGGAAGTTAAACAACTTTTACATGATATTCTAATTTTTTGGAAAAGGTCTGTGTATATATTTTGCTGATTCATGTGATGGACAGAGACCTGTCCAGGTGTCTCTGTGATGGACAGAGAC